AACTTCAAACCGGCACTAGGAAACAAAATGAGAAACCAGAGTAAGTTTTTATGCTGCAATCCATTCCCTTTGTGCTAGATAAAAGAATATTTCTCCACATGCTCAGTTCTGAGAGATAAGTGTGTGTGAAACCCGTCCTTCACATAGCTTGCTGGGAAGACACAGTTTCTTTTCATTGGTAACAACACAAGATACATATATAAGTGAAGGTAAAAGCTCCAACTCGGATTTTCAGTGAAATCTGCAGGAACTTCAAACCGGCACTAGGAAAAAGACTGAGAAACCAGAGTAAGTGTTTCTCCTGCAACATGTTCCCTTTGTGCTAGATGAACGAAAGTCTCTCCACATGCTGAGTTCTAAGAGAGAATTGTGTGTGAAAGCCGTCCTTCACATAGGTTGTTGGGAACACAAAGTTTCTCTTCAGTTGCAAACTCCACTCCATACATATATATATGGAGGTACAAGCTCCAACTCGGTTTTACAGTGAAAAGTGCAGGAACTTCAAACCGGCACTAGGAAACACACTGAGAAACCAGAGTAAGTGTTTCTCCTGCAACCCGTTCCCTTTGTGCTAGATGAAGGAATGTCTCTCCACATGATCAGTTCTGAGAGTTAAGCATGTGTGAAAGCCGTCCTTCAACTAGCTTGTTTGGGACACAAAGATTCTTTTCAGATGTAAAATACACTACATACATATATATGGGTATGTACTATCTCCAAATCAGTTGTACAGTGAAAACTGCAGGAACTTCAAAATGACACTAGGAAACAGATTGAGAAACCAGAGAAAGGGTTTCCCCATCAACACGTTTAAATTTTGCTAGATGGATGAACGTCTCTTCACATGCTCAGTTCTGGGAGATAAATGTGTCTCAACGCCGTACTTCAGCTAGCTTGTTGGGAACACAAAGTTTCTTTTCAGTTGGAAACTACACTACATACATGTATATTGGGAGGTACTAGTTCCAACTCGCTTTTACAGTGAAAATGCAGGAATTTCAAACTGGCACTAGGAAACAAACTGAGAAATCAGAGTAAGTGTTTCTCCTGCAACACTTTCCATTTGTGCTTGATGAACGTACGTCTCTCCACATGTTCAGTTCAGAGAGTTAAGTGTGGGTGAAAACGTACTTCAACTAGCTTGTTGGGAACACAAAGATTCTTTTAAGTTGGGAACTACACTACATAGATACATATGGGGTTGTACTACTTCTTACTCGGTTTACAGTGAAAACAGTAGGAACTTCAAACTGGCACTAGAAATCAGACAGAATTCAGAGTAAGTGTTTCTCTTGCAACACGTTGCCTTTGTGCTAGGTGAACGGACTTCTCTCCACATGCTCCATTCTAAGATATAAGTGTGTGTGAATGCCGTGCTTCACCTAACCTGATCGGAACAGAAAGTTTCTTTTCAGTTGGAAACTACACTACATACATATATATGGGGAAGTACTAGCTCCAAGTCTGTTTTACATTGAAAACTGCAGGAACTTCAAACCGGAAATAGTAAATAGACTGAGAAACCACAGTAAGTGTTTCTGCTACAACTCTTTCCCTTTGTACTTGATGAATGAACGTCTCTCCACATGCTCAGTTTTGAGAGATAAATATGTGTGAAATCCATCCTTCACCTAGCTTGTTGGGAAATTATGGTTTCTATTCAATTGGATACTACACTAGATACATATATGGGGATGTGCAAGCTACAAATTGGTTTTTCAGTGTAAAAGGCATGAATTTGAAACCAACAGTAGGAATCAGACTGAGAAACAAGAATTAGTGTTTCCCTGCAACCCGTTCGATTAGTGCTAGATGAATGTAGGTCTCTCCACATGCTCATTTCTCAGATAAAAGTGTGTGAAAGCCATCCTTCTCCTAGATTGTTGGGAACACAAAGATTCCATAAAGTTGTAATCTACACTGCATACATATATATGTGGAGGTACAAGCTCCAAATTGATTTTACAATGAAAACTGCAGGAATGTCAAACCAGCAGTTGGAAACCGACTGAGAAACCTCAGTAAGTGTTTCTCCTGCAACCCATTCTCTTTGTGCTAGATGAACGGACGTATCTCTACATGCTGAGACCTGGGAGATAACTTTGTGTGAAAGCCATCTTCACTTAACTTTTGGGAATACAAAGTTTCTTTTCAGATTGAAACTACAATACATACATAAATATTTGGAGGTCCTAGAACTCGGTTTTGCAGTGAAAACTGCAGGGATATCAAACTGGCACTAGGAAACATCCTGAGAAACCAGAGTACTTGTTTCCCAGCAAAACATTTTCTTTGTGCTAGATGAATGAATGTCTCTCCACATGCTCAATTATGGGACATATGTGTGTGAGAAAGCCTTCTTTCACTTAGCATGTTAGGAATAAAGCTTTCTATTCAGTTGGAAACCACACTACGTACATATATAAAGGGAGGTACTTGCTCCAACTCGGTTTTACAGTGAAAACTGCAGGAAATTCAAACGGGCATTAGGAAACAGCCTGAGAAACTAGAGTCAGTGTTTCTCCTGCATCCCTTTCCCTTTGTGCTAAATGAGCGAATGTATCTCCACATGCTCAGTTCTGAGAAATATGTGTGTATAAAAGCCGTCCTTCACATAGCTTGCTGTGAACACAAACTTTCATTACATTTGGTAACTTCACTACATACATATATATATGGAGATACTCTCTCAAACTCGGTTTTACAGTGAAAATTGCAAACTTCAAGCCGACACTAGGAATCAGACTGAGAAACCAGAGTAAATGTTTCTCCTGCAACTCGATCCCTTTCTGCTAGATGAACGAAAGTATCTCCACATGATCAGTTCTGAGAAATGTGTGTGTGAAAGTCGTCTTTCACGTATCTTGTTGGGAACACACATTTTCTTTTCACTTGGAAAATGGACTTCATACATATATATGGGAATGAACTATTACCAATCTGGTTTTACAGACAAAACTGCAAGAAGTTCAAACTGGCACTAGGAAAGAGACTGAGAATAGAGTAAGTGTTTCTCCTGCAACAGTTTTCGTTTGTGCTAGATGAAAGAACATCTTTCCACATGCTCAGTTCTGAGAGATAAGTGTGAGTGAAAGCCATAATTCATATAGCTTGTAGGGAACACAAAGTATCTTTTCATTTGGAATGTACAAGACATACATATATATGGGGATGTACTACCTCCAACTTGTTTTACAGTGAAAAGAGCAGGAACTACACACTGGCACTAGGAATCAAACTGAGAAACCAGAGTAAGTGTTCCTCCTTCAACCCATTCCTTTATTGCTAGATGAACGTAAGTCACTCCACATGCTCATTTCTGGGAGATAAGTGTGTGTGATAGCCGTCCTTCACTTTTCTTGTTCAGTACTCAAAGTTTCTTTTTAGTTTAAAACTACACTTCATAAATATTTAATGGGAGGTAGTAGCTCCAACACGGATTTACAGTGAAAACTGCAGGAACTTCAAACCAGCACTTGGAAACAAACTGAGGAAACAGGGTAAGTGACTCTCCTGCAACCCGTTCCCTTTGTGCCAGATACACGAATGTATCTTCACATGCTCAGTTGTGGGAAATGATTGTGTGTGAAACCCGTCCTTCACCTAGATTGTTGTGAAACAAAGTTTCTTTTCAGTTGCTTACTACAATACATACAAATATAATGGGCGGTACTAGCTCCAACTTGGGTTTGCACTGAAAAATGTAGCAACATAAAACCAGCACTAAGAAACAGACTGAGAAATCAGAGCAAGAGTTGTCCTGTAACCCCTTCCATTTGTGCTAGATGAACGAACGTCTCTCCACATGCTAAGTTCTGGGAGATAAATGTATGTGAATGCCGTCCTTCAACTACCTAGTCCAGAACACAAAGTTTCCATTCATTTTAAATTATACTACATACATAAATATTTGGAGGTAATAGCT